ATGTCTGTTGCGTTCGTAACAATTGGTCCCGCATTTGAAACTCTGCCTTCTGTTCAAAGAGTGAGAAGACTGAGGCGCCCAACAGAATGAGCATAACGTATATTATGAGGAATAACACAAGTAAGAAGTGATGAGGCGATGAGACATAATAGTGATATGTCTTATGGTCTTCACTACTAGTACTGCTTCCCGACACAGAACTCGAGTCGGAAGTACTCGCACTGAAACTGTTGTCTCCGATTAGGATCTCGTAATCATTTCCATTAGTTGTCTGCAAATTATTCTTGAGGTCTGAGGAATGGGTTTTTGGTTGATTTTCAGCCATTATAACGGAATTTTAAGTTAATGTTGATTTAGAATAACAAAATAATATAAAACTAATACTAAATTTTAAGATAAGGTAAAAAAGTTTAACAAACGAACAAAAAAAGTCACTATAGATTATGTTATGCATCTTAATTTTAGTTTATGTTAGTGATTTTACCATTATGTCAAATGTTGTTAATATTACTTCATTTGATTTTCAAGAATTTCAGTTTATTTTAACTTAATTTCTAAGTATTGTTCCAAAAGAAGAACGATGTCTCACTTCATCCATAATTTACAAATGAATGTCCAAAATGACAGATAGATTGGAAATGCATAAAACTTAAGCAATAATTAACAATTGCTTTAATGAAAAAATCACTCAAAACACACAATAAAGTAACAAAAAATAGAAATAAGTGGAAGTGATCTCCAATTTATAGCTTGTGTTCAACCAATTGATGTCTCCAATGATATCTGTTTTGCAAAAATAGAAATCACAATCTATTTATTTACTCGTATTTCAAGTCGAAGCCAAACTTTACACTGAAGATAAAAACTAGTTTTGATGATATTTTTATCATAAGTATCCTGTATTGGTCGCAGGATTGTCGTACAATCTCTTCATTAACGTATAGGCACTCTCTGCCAAACACTCTGTATACTTATGCTAACTCTCTTTCTATTCAAATCTTAATTCCTATTATTGCTAATCAAACGATACATTTCTATTAATACTATAAATCATCAAAACTACACAAAACAAAAACACATCTGTCGTAAATGTATACAAAATGTATACAATTTGTAATTTAATGTCTAAATTATTTGGTTTTGCTTTTTATAATTGAATGTCAGACACATCTGCCATATTATGTAATTACAAATAATATTCAATTCTTTGAATTTAGCTTTCAAAGATAATACTTGAAATAAAATATTTAAAAATCAGCATTTTACATTTATGATTTTAATATTACTTACATTTATGAAAGATATATTATTGATAATACGTCAAAAGTAAGCATAATTTATTATATGCTTTATATAAAAGTTATATCAATATTAATTTATTTGATAATTGATCAGTTATTTCATACAAACCTTGTGGTTGTTATATAGAAAAAATTTTCGTAATTCCGAAACACAATCAAAAAAATGCTTTTTTATTATCAAAAAACAGATAAAATAAGTTTCAATGATGTCATTATTGAAGTGAATTGTGATAATTATTTGTAAAATACAACTCTTGAAAGTTTTGTACTAATGATTTATACACTTAAACGCTATAACATTTGTAACCACAATAGAAACAAAAGAGTTTTGACTAATTTATGAAAAATATTTACTAATTATTTCGAAATAATTATTGCCATTCACAGCACAGTATTATACCAGGATGGTAAATGTATATTATTTAGTGTAAAGGTACATCTTGGTGTTTATTTGACATAAAAGTTTATTTATTTTATTAAATCAACTGCCTTTGAAAGTCCAGACTTTATCGCGCTATACATGTATATTATAGGCGATAGTTTGAAAAATTCAATCATTTAATTCATTTAAGGCATAGAATGGAAATCTTTGTATTAAAATAAACATTTGGTTTGAAGTTATTTAACTTATAAGGCCTTTGTGTGCACTTCATATCCTATATCCCATACCCAATAGAATCACAATTAGTTTTAATGATTATTTGTTATTCAGATTAGACTTATAGGCAGACTATTTGGCTCAACATAAGTCATGACAAATTCAGTCATATATTTTATTTACGAACAAAATTACATTAAAAACTGAATATTTAGACAATTAAT